GTGAGCCAAGATTGCACCATTGCACTCCAACCTGGGCAACAGAGCGAGACTCCATCTCAAACAAACAAACAAAAAAAAATGCCTGCCATGTTGTAATACTAGTCTGCCTCACACAACAGGTAATGTATTGAACTTTTTGTAAAATAACAAATTTTATCATGATCTTACAATAGTGTAAAATAAATGTTAAATTTTATTAGAAAATAAACAGGCTGGACAGCAATGATTTAAATATGAAAATTAAAGAGTTTATAAATGCTTTTTGATTATATGAATGCATTCTATTTTTGGTCTTGAGTTTTTATATGAGAAAAACCATACAAGAAGTTAAAAATGGTACAATCATAAATCTGAGCAGACTCTAAATTTATGTGGGTTTGAATCTCATCTCTGCTACTTATGTGCATAACTACAGGAAAATTAATCATTTCTGTAATATGGGATGCTTTCAATAGGCAATTCCATTTATTTATTTGAGACAGAGTCTCCCTCTGTCCCCCAGGCTGGAGTGCAGTAGCACGATCTTGGCTGATTGCAATCTCTGCCTCCAGGGTTCAAGTGATTCTCATGCCTCAGCCTCCCAAGTAACGGGGATCGCCAGCATGAGCCACCACACCTAACTAATTTTTGTATCTTTAGTAGAGACAGGGCTTCACCATGTTGGACAGGATGGTATCGAACTCTGACCTCAGGTGATCCATGTGCCTTGGCTTCCCAAATTGCTGGGAGTACAGGTGTGAGTCACTGTGCCTGACCTATCTATTCAATTTTAGTCAAAAGGAGCTGATGATTGGTCCTTTTTCCACTGGGTTCAATCTAATGTAATTAATGTAAAGCATAAGCAAAATGGAATGCCATCTAGGCTGCCGTATCCATGCAAGGTACACCGAATGGGAGATAAACACTCAGAGAAATGTGAGGTCTTGGCATTGCTCTTGAAGACCTCCTTGAGAGTCAAAAGCTCTAACTTTCTGACACAGGAAAAAAAAAATGCACATCAATAAAAAGCATCATGTATTATTTCTGAGCTTTTGAAAATCCTCTAAAATCTACTCATGAAGTCTCTGAATCTACAGACCCAATCCTAGGTATTTTTTTTTAAAGGCAAATGAGTCTTAAAAATCACATTCATTAGCTGGGATTCCATGCCTGGAATCCCAGCACTTTGGGAGGCTGAGGCGGGAGAATTGCTTGAGGCCAGGAGTTCAAGACCAGTCTAGGGAACAAAGTGAGACCCCATCTGTACAGTTTTGTTGTTGTTGTTGTTTTTGTTTATTAGCTGGGTGTGGTGGAACACACCTGTGGTCCCAGCTACTTGAGAGGCTGGGGTGGCAGAACTGTATGAGCCCAGCAGGTTGAGGCTGCAGTGAGCCATGATCATACCACTGTACTACAGCCTGGGTGACAGAGCAAGATCCTGTCTCAAAAACAATGACAGTAAGAACAACAGCAAAAATTACTGACATTAATGAGTGACGTTCTGAAGACAGGAAGGCAATCCAGGCTGGGGAGAATAATATAACCAAGACAAGGAGCTACACGTTAGTGATGTGTATGGGCTTTATTAGAAAATTGTTATCCTCTTTAGGTTTGAAAGTTCACAATATTAAATTGTATTTTCTTCTTCGGACTATACCCTTGTTTTATGTTATTATAATGCAGTTGTTTGTGGTGACCCTTAATAGATGTTATGCCAGCATACAGAGGTTTAGACATGGGTAGCTTAAGAAGAAAAAAAGAAAGAAAATCTCCAGGTAAATACAACATTTGTATTTAAATTTATAAGGTAAATATTTATTTAGAATAAGAAAACGAATGAGTGGATTAACTTATGAAGCACAAATAAATCAAACAATAGCAAGCAAAGCAAATGGAAAAAACCTTACACAATAACAGCATACTCTCTCTGCTCAAAGATTCTGCTTTGATCTTCATAAAAGGAAGGTGCTAATGTAACTGAGTTTGGCCACATATAATGCAGGTACAGTTGTTAACTTTGCAAGGATGCCATCCCAAGACTCTCCCTAATTTTCAAGGTACTGGAGAGTCTAGGTTTTTACTGAAAATTCTCAGATTTTTAAAAGACCAATAGTGTGTTTGTCAAATTGAACATACTGAGGAACAGTTTCAATATATGAGCTGCCAGTCTTTGACTCTTATTTTGGAGAATGTAGAAAAATCAATAGATTACATCTTCCATTCTTTATTAAACATTTGGAATCTCTGACAATTACCTGAAATACAATTTTTAAATGTTATTGGTTGAGCTCATGCTACAGGCTATAAAAGTCAGATGAGCCAAGGCATATTTTGTTTTGTTTTTGAGGAAAGGTAAGTAGAAGGAAAAAAGAACAAAAAGCCCTTTCATTGCTGCATGGAAGCTGGCTTCTTCACATAAAATGATGCACAGAGCTGAATGGGCCTTGGAGGTCTATCTGAGTTGTCTCTTTTCTTCTTCCTGAATATTGAGCTAATAGAGAATTTTCAAGTTATAGCCTAGGCTTAAAGACTTCACAATATCTTGTTTATGAAACCAGTCCCCAAATAATTCTTTACAACTATAGTAGCTATGTCATACAGTCATCCCTCCACATCCACTGGGGATTGGTTTCAGGACCCTGAAGATATCGAAATTCAAGAATGCTCAAGTTTCTTATATGAAATGATGTAGTGCTTGCATGTAACCTATGCACATCCTCCCATAATATACTTTAAATCATCTCTGTGTTACATATAATACCTAATACGATGTAAATATGATAAAAATAGTTACTATACTATATCGTTTATTGATTTTTCTTTTTTATTGTTGCATTGTTATTTCTTATTTTCTTCTTCTAGATATTTTCTAAATACATTTGTTTGAATCAATGAATATATTTCTATATAGGGAACTCTGCAGATGCTAAATAAATATGGTGGGAAATTGCTATATCACATTGTATATATATCTTGCCCTTGTGCACAGACTTTACCATTTTATTGATTGTGTGTGATTGATTGTGTGTGTGCAAACCAAGAATTTTGTCTAATCATAAAAGATGGTATGTCCAAAGTGAGAATGAATTAGATAGCTAGAATACTAGAAAAATAAAGTTTTTGTTTTGAGAACGGGATTTAAAGCCAGATAAAACTCAATGTTTTACTAATTGTATGTGTTTTTAGCGGTGATCACTTTTGAAAAATTAGTCCTAATGGTTTTCTATAAATTACAATTCATGTTTTTGACTAACAGAACTTTTTTTTTTTTTTTTTTTTTTTTGAGACAAAATCTCGCTCTGTCACCCAGGCTGGAGTGCAGTGGCAGGATCTCGGCTCACTGCAAGCTCTGCCTCCCAGATTTACACCATTCTCCTGCCTCAGCCTCCCGAGTAGCTGGGACTACAGGCACCCGCCACCTCGCCTGCTAGTTTTTTTGCATTTTTTAGTAGAGACGGGGTTTCACCGTGTTAGCCAGGATGGTCTCGATCTCCTGACCTCATGATCCGCCCGCCTGGGCCTCCCAAAGTGCTGGGATTACAGGCTTGAGCCACTGCGCCCAGCCAACCAACAGAACTTCTTTACCCTTGCTTACACAGAGTTGTTTCTCTTTGGTTATTTATCGGTTCAGCATTACTGCACTAGCAATATTTAGGATGTATGGTCCAGTCCATCTTGCACATCTTTATAGTATTTTATCACTTGACAGATTATAGTTGCTGAAAGTCTTTAAATAAAGAAAAATACAGAACTAAACCATTTATATTATAGAAAATAACAGCAACAAAACTTTGTAATTGAATTAATCCTTTATAGATATCTAATTTAATTCTCACGTCAACCCTTGGTGCATTCGCACTGAACAAATAGAAGTCTCAAAAGAGTAAGTGACTGCTTTGGTGATATCAGTGTTATTATTAGCTTTGACATTAGATTAACCTTAATTTATAACCATAGATATCTACCAAACCAGTGCAATAAATAATGAGAAATTCACTTGAACCTGCTTCAAATTTATCATAATTATAAAGATCAATTGCTGCTATAGGTAGCTTATACATTAATTGCTGGATAGAGCTATACAAGGTACACAATAAATTTGTTACATTAAAACTTTGGTCTAAAAATATCTGCTAAAATATTTATTTATCATAGTATTTGGAAATACAGATTAATATGTCATTAGACGTTAACACAAGTTTTAATAAGCTGCAGTTCAGTCATGTTATTCAATTGTTAAACTGCCAAACATCTGTATCCCAACATTTATATTTTCTTACTTTTATTTATGTTTACCTGCAGAATTTATCCTATATTTTTAATCAGCAGATTTGGGGCAATAATGTTACCTGGTCATTGCTATGAATTATTAATTGATACATTTGAATATATAGTATTTCATTAAATTAAATTCTTAACATTTAAGTGTCTATTCTGATTCTAGAATTGAAGTCCTATGTCCAGAAGTTACATTTATTACCTGATTTTTTATATCTATTTCTCAGAATTTTGGATGCTATTCTTCAAAGATTTTGTTAGTCAGAAAGTACTTATTAGTTTTTGATTATTTGCTTCTTAATAATTTGAAAGAAATTACCTAGAGAAAGATAAGAAAATCAGCCAAGGTCTTATCATTAAGATTAGAATGTATAACCTAATTTATGTGTCTTAGAGAAAAGCCCTTGAGAGATCTCATCCTTTAGACATGAGTAAAAACCACAACAGAATATCCACAAATTATCTTACTTTTTCTTTTCTAATGTACATAGTACTTTCAGAAATTTTAGGGGAGGCAAGAAAGATCATTTTCTCTGACTATTAATGTTATTTAAATGAATTAGAAAATACTAGAGAGATTTATACCTATCAACCATCTAAAGTAAAAATGTATTCTCTCTAGCACTGTAATAATGTCTGAAGAAAGAAAAAAAAATGTGAAATAAAAACAACCAACAAGTAAAATCATAATTTCTCTCCTATCTTGCCCCCCTCTGCTTCTCTCTTCCTCATTTCAAATTAAGAGATTCATTCTCCTGCTGGTTGTAATGGAAATGAATTTCAGTGCCACCCTGATGGTAACTGCATTCCTGATCTGTGGCGCTGTGATGGAGAAAAAGATTGCGAAGATGGTAGTGATGAAAAAGGCTGCAATGGTACCATACGATTGTGTGACCACAAAACCAAGTTTTCCTGTTGGAGTACAGGTAAGTGAACATTGCTTTTGGCTTCTATTGGGGCTCCCTGAGTGTGGAATCCTTTTGGCCCATCCTGACTCTGTATCTCACCTTTGTAAAAAGTAGTCTTATATTTCTGATAGATGTGCTCATGTATAATAATAGTAGTTAACGTTTAGGGAGAACTATCAATGGGGCCAGAATAATTCTATGAATGTTCTCTGCATGAATTCATGAGGCAAGGAGAAGTTTTTAACTGGCTCACGCTCACAGAGCCAACATGTCAGATTTAGGATTTTATTTAATTAATTAATTTATTTATTTGAGATTTGGGATTTTAAACCAGGCAATCTGGAATACAGAATCTGGAAATTCAGAATCAAGAGAGAGATAAGTATGATAAACCAGCTGGCAGCATTTCTCTTTCTGTGGATAACGCCTCAGCCTAAAATTTAAATGAAGATTACTTAGAAAAGAAAGACAGAATTATGTGTATTTATTTTCAACTAATTTCCTAAATATTACTGTACTATTGCTTAATTCTGTTATGACAAAGACATTGGCTGCCATTTAAAGCTTTGATCCAAGAGTCACTGAGGCTATTATTGTGTTTTATAAAGATACCCTATTACTATGACTGTTCCATTTTGGTTTCATGTGCGTGTGTGTGTATGTGTGTGTGTGTGTGTGTGTACAAATAGGAAACCAAAATGGAGAAGTCATAGTAATAGAATATCTTATATTCTACTATGTTTTACTGTATATACTGGGTTCCAGTTGAAATTATAAACTTATTTTCTTCCCTCTTTATGCCAGATGATGTGTTGAAGTTTAGAGAAAAGTAGATTACAATGAGCTATTGTGGTGTAATTTGTGAAATGGTTGATATCATTCTCCAAATAATCCATGGAAATAATTTTCTGTAGATTTCAGGATATCATCTCTGGAATCTCTCTTTGATGTGAAATTGTTTTTCAGTTGCCTAATCATGAGCTCTTAGTGATTTCTTTTGCTCCCTATTTTTACATATTCTAACAAAAAGTACAAATGAGAACTAAAGGGTATAAGAAAACACTGTGAAAACCACATGGCCGATGTGCATTTAAAGGTATAGAAAGGCACTGTCTTTCTTTTCTTAAACATGCCTCTTGGTTACAATTACGGATTCCAATAAGAAATAAGAAAAATAAATGCAAGCTAACATAGGTATAGATAAATACATACTCCTGGAGCCTGTTTCTAGCCAGGAAATTGTTTCCAAAATGTTTTTTTCAACAATGTTTTTCACAATTATGTGACTCTCTTCAATTGTTACATAAAGACTCATAATTTTAGGGTAATTTGTTAGAAAAAAATGTGATTTTAAGTTTAGAAATGGTCTTTTTGGAACATGCATTAATTGAAAATTAATAGATGAATTATTGTCAAATGAATGAATTATTGATGGCATAAATAAGTTTTATTTAATAGGGCAATTCTAATGCCAAAGAGCCAATTATTTGACTCGAGCTAATATACTTCAAAGCATAGGTTGTATATATTTTCCCCATATAACTTCTGCCATTTTCTTGATTGTATTAATCTTAAAATGTAGCAGCTAACAGTTTTTAAAACATATATGAAAAAGAAACTGATAAAGCTTTGTTAAAACAAAATATAAACCAATATGGAAAATCCTGAGTTTCAACTACTTGGATATGCTATTAAAGCAAATTTAGATCAAAACATAAAACCAGGCTGCAATTTCTCTATACGGAAATAAATTATAAAAAGATTCACAGTAATGTAAATTCTCAAAGATATGTGTTAGTAAAAACTAGTTTGAACTTTCAGTTGAGAAAAAAATAATTGCAGACAAAGCATGTAAATAATAAATAGTATGATTAAGTAAATTTAAGAGAATATTCTAAGTGTTTATGATTTATTTTAAAATGTGTATTGATATTTTGCAATTAACACTTATAAAACAACTTCCTGTGAATATGGTTCAACATAAAAATAAATCTGAAGTATGATGAGGAAGACTGGTTATCTTTAGAGAACTGAATTTTCTGAGACACTTTTATATGTGGTGACTTGATATTTGGATTATCTGTTTAATAATTCTGTTAATTAAACATCAGATGTTTCTAACAAATAGTTTTTAGGTAAACAAAAATTTGATGTAGAAAGAAACTGTGATAAAACATATGTTTCACTTTAAAAGAAAAAAGTGAAAGGTAATAATTTATCCATCTGCTTCTCATTTGATCTGTGTTTTGGATATAGTAAACCACAATTTATCCAACTTCGGAAGAGTTGCACAATTACAAAGTCACATTTATGATAGACTTCTGTGAACATTGCAGTCATTAAAATGAACCACAAATATAAGCAATGGTTTAAAATATGTATTCATCTACAAACCTTTTGATATTTTTTCATTTATTTTAAATTCTCAGTTTTACAAGCTGCAAGACCTTTACCCACAATGTTCAATCCAGAGTTCATGATTATTTTCAAAGATTTTTAAAATGTTAGTTTGAACATTCAAAAGTTTTCAGGCTAATTAATTTATATATGGTAGTTAGAATAGCTTTTTAATACATAAATTGTCATCTATTGGTGTTCAAAACATAAGCACATTCGGTTTTTATATTCCTATAAAGATGAGAATGAGAGCTAACTTCAAGTACAATACAACAGTCATCATTTAAGAACTTCTAATCTCAAAGGACCTATTTTTGACCAAGAAGTACATTGTGCCACATCTGTTCTCTTACACTCCAGACTAACAAATAGCAGTTGTATTGTAACTGGGGAAAAGTGAAGTGTATTTTCAGTCACTCTGTCATGGAAAAGAAACTCAGAAATGCCATTCTTCAGATTAGAAAAATTAAAGAGAAGTTTAATATTACATAGTGATGGCAAAGTACCGGGAAAATAGGCCCTGCAGCTGTTTGTAGGAATGTAAATTTAATCCTTCTCTCCTACTTCTAGAAATTCATGTAAAGAAGAGTAGGATTGTATAAGGTTATATATGCACAAAGATATTCAATAAGCCATTTTATTTTTAATAGTAAAAAGTTAGAAATAATATATGCTTATCAGTAGGGATAGTAATAAATAGTTGTGTATTCACACAAGTAATCTAATGTCATTAAGACAATAAAAAAGGAATTCATGTGAAGGTGAGACTTCAAGTTTACACTCTGAACTTTCTGCTTCTCTGTTTTCTCTTCTCAACACATGGAAGTGATGATAAAATATAACAGGATAAAATAAAGGAGATACTGCATACTGCCTTATGAACAAAGAATATGTATCTCTAAGTAACAGAAATATAGCACAGTGTCAAGTGGTGAGCTAAAGCTGAGTACCTTATTGGGTTGGGTAATAGGCTAGCAGAAATGAACAGGTACTCAAATCTTACGGTCAATAGAAATAAAGCTGTCCCACATGAAGCTGGGATCTGGAGGCAGGCAGTACTGGAAATCAGAACCTGGAAAGAAACTCCATTTGCTTTTGAAAGGAGAAATGAAAAAATATATGTATCACTGCTAGTTGCCGCCAGTAGTGGTTACTTAAATGAAGTCCTGTACCTAAAGAGATGAGAGGACACAGGCATGGCAATTAAGCTGAACTTCTGTCTGGCTTGGAGATAGAATCTGATAAAAGTCCAATATTGTTTTAGTATAGAATCTCACACAAAAAATATATATATAAATTGTACTTCTGAACCAAGAGTACTGGAAATAATGGGGTGGACCAGAGTCGAAGCAGCAATGCTTGTAGATAGGCACAAGTAAACTCATAAAGTCAGAGAGAAAAAAATGAAAGTTCTGATCCAAGATGAGATTACAAACCAGAAGTTTAACATACATGAAAAAAACTATCTCATCAAAATCAGTCATTACAAAATAAATTATTCATGATTAAATGACAATAAGCTATATGTCTGAAAAATAAGTTTAAGTATGTTGAGACAGGAGGCGGACCAAGATGGCCGAATAGGAACAGCTCCAGTCTCCAACTCCCAGCACAAGCGACACTGAAGACTGGTGATTTCTGCATTTTCAACTGAGGTACTGGGTTCATCGCACTAGGGAGCGCCGGACAATCGGTGCTGGACAGCTGCTGCAGCCCGACCAGCGAGAGCTGAAGCAGGGCAAGGCATCGCCTCACCTGGGAAGCGCAAGGGGAAAGGGAATCCCTTTTCCTAGCCAGGGGAACTGAGACACAAAACACCTGGAAAATCGGGTAACTCTCACCCCAATACTGCGCTTTAAGCAAACAGGCACACCAGGAGATTATATCCCACACCTGGCCGGGAGGGTCCCACGCCCAGGGAGCCTCCCTCATTGCTAGCACAGCAGTCTGCGATCTAGGCCAGGCAGCAGCGAGGCTAGGGGAGGGGTGCCCGCCATTGCTGAGGCTTAAGTAGGTAAACAAAGCCTCTGGGAAGATCGAACTGGGTGGAGCTCACAGCAGCTCAAGGAAACCTGCCTGTCTCTGTAGACTCCACCTCTGGGGACAGGGCACAGTAAACAACAACAAAACCGGCAGAAACCTCTGCAGACGCAAATGACTCTGTCTGACAGCTTTGAAGAGAGCAGTGGATCTCCCAACACGGAGGTAGAGATCTGAGAAGGGACAGACTCTGCCTGCTCAGTGGGTCCCTGACCCCCTGAGAGCCTAACTGGGAGACATCCGCCTGGGGCGGTCTGAGCCCCCACCCCTCACAGGTGTCGGAGTACACTGAGAGGAAGCCCTCCAAAAGCCAACTCAGCCAGGTACACTCGCTGTTCCTAATATTCCTATCTCTGGCGCTCTGCTGCTCCCTCAGGGCACAGGGGTCTGGAGTGGACCTCCGGCACTCTCCCAGAGCCTACGCTGAGGTCCTGACTGTTAGACGGAAACTTCCACAGAAGGCACCTACCCTCCAACACCCTCGCGCACGTCCCATCCTCATCCTAGCGCAGAGGTCAGATAAAACCACAAAGCTGGGGGACAAAGCAGGGCAGCAAAGCTGGAAATTCCACCCAGTAAAG